ATGATCCGGTGGACGGGCACGAGCCCCTCCTTCAGCGGCGAGGTCCCCGCCTCCACACGCGCAGGTCGGGCGGCTCGCGTTAGGTCGGGCACGACTTCCCACGGTCGGACTGTGGAAGAAGAGTTCGCACTATTTGGGGATCTATTCGTACTCGTACTATTTGGGGATCTCGTGCTATGTGGGGATCTGTTTGGGGATCTGCACTCGCACTATCTGGGGATCTCGTACTTGTTGGGGATCTCGCACTACTTGGGGATCTATACTCGCACTCTTTGGGGATCTTCCTCCTGCAGAGGGGCCTGCCCGACCGAAGGCTCCCCGCGGCTGCCGCCGAGCCCGGACGATGGCAGGCTCGGCCCCCCTGCCGCGGGTCTGCGCTCGACCCCCTCGAGGGGTCGCGGGGGGGGGAGGGCCTCGGACGTCTGTGACTACCTACCAGACCACCCCAACCCAACCCGAAGACCCGAATTTCGGGTTGGGGGGGGGATGGGTTCCATACGTGTTTTTTCGATGTTCCCCGACCCCCCCCCACTGGAAATGGAGGGCAAATTGAGGCCTTCGGGTTGGGTTGGGGTGGTTTGGTGGGTGGTGAGTCTGGGGCGCTTCTCCCCCGAGGCCCCGGAGGCCTCCGGGGAGGGGCGGCAGCACAGCATGCCGTGCCCCATCCTGAAGAGCCGAGCGCTACCCCGCCGACGCGTTTTCTCCGGCCCCGCACGGGCTCCTGGTGCATACATCCTTCGCTGGCTCCCCGGGCAGAGCGTGGAAAGAAGTATACCAAAGGAGCCCAGGGACACGCAAAGAAATATACACACAAATCACAGGATCCCCCTATCTTTTCCTAAAGTTTGTGGGCATTTGTCTTCTCCCCCGCTTCCCAAATTTTCCTGTGTCGGTGTGTTTCTTTCCCTCCTGGCATACACCACACCACCCCGACGTCGTCCCCGACCCTGAAGAAGTCCTGGGATTGGAAAACAACACGCCCCTGGTAATGTGTGTGTGCTTCCGTTCCGGACCTCCCCCGCCCCCCTCGTCCCCAGACCACCTCGCGCTGCGAAGAAGAGGCGACGGGACGTGCCCTGCCATGTCTGGAGGCCTCCCAGCTGGGGTCGGCGTGGATGGGGTCGAAGGATCGCGCCGCATCGACGATACATCGGCGATGCATCGGCGATGCATCGGCGACACCGGCGCGGAAAAAATCTGGCTTCGCGTCGAACCGCATCGGCGATGCTGAGGCGATGCGTGCGATTTCTAGATATGCCTGGCCTCAGGGGGGCCCTTGTCCAGTCCCAGGGGTTCAGCACCGTCCCCTGCTGCTGCTGTTCCTTGACCTCCTTCCTCCCCCTCCCTCTGTTTTCCCCCGTCGTGCACCCTCGCCGGCCCGCTCCTCCATACCAGTACCTTGTCAAGATCGCCTCTTCGCCGTACCAGCGGACGTGTCTATAGAGTGGCGGGGCGTTTTGACTGAGGGGCGTTCTTTCTTCTTTTTGTTTGTTTTCTCCCTCTCTCTCTTTCTCCCTCTCTCTCTCTCTCGTTCCATCTCTCTTCTTCTCTCTCTGTCTCTCTGTCTGTCTCTCTCTCTCTCTCTATCTGACTTCTCTTCCCAGAAGATGGTCTGATAGCGGAGTATCCTCCTCCGTATATTACTTTAAGCAATCCAAATTAATTATATCATATATTTACTACTTCACACTAGTGCCCCCGCTGCGGCGTTGGTCTCGTTTTAGGACCGGCGCTCTGCTCACGTCGTTCAAAATGGCGCTCACGGCCCTTTTCCCTTATCCTACCTTCCCATGGTCCTCCAGTTTCCCGGGTTCATCCTGCTCCTGTCGGTGCAGTTCCTCCTCATCCTCCTACTTCAACACCAGTACCCTCTTCCTCCTGTTCATCGTCCTGCCCATCCGCCATCTCCGCCTCCAATGTACAAACCCTCCCTTTTTCACACTGCTCGTGACACGTCAAGGTCCTTATGGGTGTTCCGTGTCCGCTAAGACACCCGTTCGCGGGTATAGACAACATCACCACACGCGTTGCGCAGGGATGGGGAGGATGGGTGGGATGTCAGAGGTGGCGCGAGCACGCCTGGTTTGTCTCAGATGATGGGCAAGGTGTCAGAGGGTGCTTTGCTTGCCTCTCTCTCTCTCTCTCTTTTGTTATGCTGTGTTGTTGTTGTTTGTGTTGCTGTTGTTGCTTTTTTTTTTTTTTTTTTTTTTTTTTTTTTTTTTTACAAAAAAAGGGCCCCTTCCCCCCCATCGTTCAAGGTTTAGTGCCTGCCACACACGTTGACAAGCACGGTGCCGCCTCGATTGTATTCGAAGCCTTGCCTCAAACTGCTGCTGCGGAGTGCCATGAAGACCATATCTAACTGAAGAGTGCATACTGAGAAAGGCATCACAAAGCATAGAGCTTAAAAGACGCTGGTCAGGACCCATCCCACGAAAAAGGAGGTAGAGGTGGAGCCAGGGCGAACCCTCAGGAGACCCAGAAGAACAGGGAGCCCAAGAGCCCATCCAATGTGAAAACAACTGCTGGAGCCTGGGGCATACGAGGTAGTGGTGCGTGTCATCTAAGTCGGTCGGGGAAGTCGGAGAACTAGGGCACCCAAGAAGACAGCCACGAGGGGGAGCATGAAATCGAGCACTAGTGCAAACACATCTGGAAAGCATACGCAGGTTGGCCAACGGGATGTAGGGACTCGACTGACGGGCCAGGGCTTTGATGACTTTGCAGACCCAGACGATGTCCGACAGGGAGACCTCAGGGATCCAAGCACGGGCACGCCGAAGGAGAGCTTCATGAGGGGTGACGGTGGGGCAGTGAAAGCGCCTCAACGCACGCGTATACTGCTTCTGTACATCCTTACGCTCATACAAGATCTGGAAGCCGTGAGATGCAACTTCGTCCTGGAAGGTGAACAAATGAGTGAGGAAACTATTCACGTACCAGCCGCGCCGCTGCCGATATGGGCACCAGTCATCATCTTCAAAAATCCGAGCAACTTGGTCCCGGATCCGAGGCAGTTCATCACAACGTGCAATGTATCTCGCCCGAGTAGCATCCGCCACGAGCGAGAGCCGAGGGAACTCAATAGGGAACCCATAAACACACAGGTGGGTACACATGTCGTAAGATAATGCATTGTTAGGGCCAGCAGAGAGGAGACGGACACATTGCTGTTGTTGCTGGTGTTGTTGTTGCTGCTGTTGTTGTGTTGTGTTCCTCTCTCTCTCTCTGAGCCATTCAACAAAAAAAATGCTGTACACACACGCACATTTTTACACGTGTATATTTATATACATTTATGTGTCGATGTATGCTTCACGTATTGGTTGCACAGGCTCAGACCACGGGCGGCGACGCCGAGGCGGGGACGGGGCCTGCGACGGCCACCGCGGAGCAGCCATGACCGCCACCGAGGCCCAGACGACGAGGCGGCGACGAGGCGGCGCTCGGGCGGCAACGGCGAGCACGGAGCCGCGAGCCAGGCCCAGACGACTGGCGGCGACGAGGCGGCGACGGCCGCGACATGGCCGCCGGACCAACACGCAGGCCCAGCTCTTGAGGGCAAGCACCCCTGGGGGAGGTTCCAGGTCTGGCGTCGGTAGAAAGAAACGCCCCCTGCGGCTTCCAAAACTACGGGTGCAGGTGGTAAGCAGAACGCGCCAGGCTGTCGCCATGGTGGGCCGCCACGGGCCCTGGAAGCGACAGGGCCGTTTTTGTTTCCCTTTCCGCTCTGCCGTTTCCTTTTCCGGCTCCGTCGCCGCTTCTGTGGCCAGTTCCGTCGCCGTTTCTGTTGCATCTTCCGGTTGCCGTGTTTTTTGTTATACCGTCTCCATGGGTTCAAAAAACGGCCCTGACGCTTCCAGGGCCCACTGAGCCCCAGGCCCCTGGCGGGCCCGCCGGCGGGCGGCGCAGCCCGAGCCCAACGACCTCGGGAGGTCCGAGCGAGGCGGAGGTCTTTCCAGCGCCTGCGGCCTCGGGAAGCCGCTCGTGGCGCCTGAGACTGCCGAGCGAGCACCAACTGGGGACCGTGGGAAAACGTTCCTCCTCCTCCTCCTCCTCCTCCTCCTCCTCCTCCTCCTCCTCCTCCTAATGAGACGCTGCTTGATTGACAAGGGCGCACATGTCCCTGGGATGGGTTGGAGAGCTGCGGTAGACCGACCTGCGCCCTCGGACAGCTCGTGGCGCCAGACTGGGGGTTCGGGGGGAGAGGGGGAGAGCGAGGAGGCAGAGAAGCGAGGCAGGGAAGGAGAAGCCACCCTCTTCTGGCCCCAGGGCCGCCGAATTGACACATGACAGCCGGAGATGGAGAAACGAATTGACGACATGCTCGACCATGGGCGCGCTGTCACGTGTCGGCCGCTGGCGGTTTTCGGCTGCCACCGGCTGTTCTGTTCTCGCGCGAAGGCTGGGCGGCTGCGACCACACTATCCTCCCCCTCCTCCTCCTCCTCCTCCTTCCCCTCCTCCTCCTCCTCCTCCTCCTCCTCCTACTCCTCTCTCCTCCTCCTACTCCTACTCCTCCTCTTCCTACTCCTCCCCCTCCTCCCCCTCCTCCCCCTCCTCCTCCTCCTCCTCCTCCTCCACCTCCTCCTCCTCCTCCTCCTCCTCGTTGTCGTCGTCGTCCTCCTCCTCCTCCCCGGTCCACGATCGAATTCCCGAGAAGGTCAGGGGAAAGAGCTAAGAGGGGGGGAGGGCGTCCTTGCCCTGGGGCCCCTGGCTCGAGTTGGGCGCTGCTTGATGGGAGGGCGAGGAAGGGGGGCGGGTGAACGTGAACAACTCGTGCCCTCAAGGTGCACGAACGGTGCATCATTCTTGACCCCCGCCCCATAGATCGCCGCTCCATTACTGGAGGGCAGACAATCCACTCCCACATTAATGATTACCCCGACACTCGAAGCCGTTCAGTAGACGCACCCATAATAGGAATCGAACAGGGCAAGGCTGTTCAATAAACGCCCAAACCCTCTAGTGAACGCCAAGTATCCGGTCCCGGGTGGATTTTCCTCCCTTTGATTCTCACCCGTGCATGGTTTTTCCCGCACTGCATGATTCACGCCGTTCCCGCAAGCGGGACGAGACGTCCTTGGACGCTCGATCGGACGTTCTGTTCTGTTCTGAATTACGTAGCGTCCGATCGAGGCTGCCAGGAGTGCTACCGGGTTCGCTATCATCCGACTTATGGGACGAGTGCTACTCGGGCATCTGCCAGAGTCGGCGTGAAGGGAAGAGCAGGCGGAGCGCAGAGGGGAACGATGGCCGTCAGCAGGAGGATGGACACCAGCGAGGCGCCGACAGCAGCCAGCAGCAAGAACACGGCTCCGTCACAGGAGTAAGGGCCGCAGATATGCCAAGCGTCTGCCAGGGCGTCGATGCCGCCCGTCAGTAGGTTGGTGCCCACTACCGAGGCCGCAAGGGAAGATATCTCAGAGATGAGGCTCAACCAGCGCCCCTTGACTCCAGCATGCGGGCGCGACAAGAGCCAAATCAACGGTACGCATGGGCAGCAACACCATACGCACGGGATCATGACGAGACACGACACCAACCGCTCCAGCGCGTCGGGCCTGCTGAGCACCGCGTCGGTCGACAGGGCGGCACTGTCCAGATCTAGGCCGGAGACCCAGTAGGACAGCGAAGCCGCCTGGAGGATCAAGTACAACTCGGCAATGAGGCCCCCAAGCCATCCGTCGGGCGTCACACTGTTGATCCAGCTGGCCATGGAGAATGCACATACGACCTTCGCAGCGAAAGACAGCAGTGAGGCATGGCGCTGCCTCAAGGAACTTGGGCCTGGCTCTGGAACCACCAAGCTGGCTGCGAGAGACATCTCAAGTACTAGGAATAGCGTGTGCAAGTGAAAGCTCCACGTCGCTGGCATAGCAGCAGAAACAAAGCTGTTCCACGCAACGCCAAGACCAAATCCAACAGTCTTTTGCATGACGTCGCCGAACTCGGAAAGCGGCCCAGAAGTGGGAACCGAATAAACCAGAGCAGCCGTCACCCAAGTTGCCACAACGGTGATGCCGCAGTACTCGACTTCTGAATGCGATGCAAATTGTCCCAAGTACCCCATCAAAGCTCCTGAGAAGATAGGCGATGGAAAAAACTCGATTGCCACAGCCAATGAAGCGGCCCAAGCATTGTTGAAGCCCTTTAGCAACGCTCTCGTCGCAGCTGCAAATCCGCAAACGACAAAGTATTGGCAGACTAAAACTGGAAGACTGTTTAAGCGCCACTGGCCTCCGAAGCCTATTTGGTTCTGCAACGGTGACTGTCCCACCGCCACGTGAGCGAATGCATAGTAGACAAGCGCCCACGACCATGCGATCAGGAATGCGCCCGTGTAAAAGAAGACTTCCCGCATCTGCGCCAACAGCCCCATGCCGACCTCGAATAGAAACAACCTCTAGCAGACAGATAGCTGCAGAACAGACTGTAAAGAGACGGCGGCGCCCCCTCTGGCGGCACTTGGCCCAACACGCCTTACGTATAGCGAGCGAGATTGCAAACATGGCTACGATGGGAAAACGATAATCACACCTGCCCGCAGCGTGCAGGGGCAGAATGACTATCCGGTGGGTGGTGACCCACTCTTACGTGAACTTGCCTGTGCTGGCTAGAGGGATGATGCTGATGTGTACACATGACGGTGTCCGCACTGGCTGGAGAACTGATGCAAACTGATGCCATGCGTGAATGTGTTCGATCCTGAGACGGTGAGCACGTTGCGCAAAATGCCAGGACTCACCAACGCATCTAGAACACAAGTAAGTAACCGGGCCATAAAACCTGTGCCCCGACATCGTGCCGATGTTGCCCGTACCAGCGATTCGGCCATCGCGTGCTGCTCTGGCGACCAGCAACGACTGCCGACCGCATGCACATCACGCATAAAGGCATAGGATTCGAGCTCCCCGAGGCGTACCCCGTCTGCGGCGTGCTCCCCCCCCCTCTCCCCCACCTTGCTCCCGTGCGTTCGGCTGCTGCCATCCTCGGTCAGCTCCAAAGGGCACCAGGCCATGTGGGCCGCTCCAAGTGCGTGCTATGGCGTCGGCTGGCTACCGCGCTGTGTAAGGAGAGTCTGCGTCCTGCTGGCTTAATGGATGGAGTTCGCAGGGATGGCCTAGTCATGCATTCGAATGGCCCTCGGATGGCTTGCGTGTAGACGCGCCTGGACAGCACGCATTCGGCCCAGGGCTCCCCACCAAAAGGCCTCCCAGGTAGCCCCAAACTGCGAAAGGAGCTCCACTCCAAAACGACCCCATGAACGGCCCAAGACCACCCCAAGGCCGCCCAAGACCACCAGCCCAAGACAGGAGCCCCCGAACGGCACCAAGACCTCCCAAAACGCCCCCACCTCCAGGCACCCCATCCGAACCCAAATGCCCCGCGAGACGATCCCCCGACAGGCCCGAAAGGCGCCCTTTGGGGGACTGGGAGGTGCCCCCGAGAGAACCCGAATCTGGTACCAAGACGCAGGTCGAGAGGCATGTAAAGATGATGCCGTGGCACTCTGCAACGTTGCTGGGCTGCTTCCCCCCAAACCAGTCGGAGACACGCGGCAAGTAGCAGACAGAGTTGGCGACCACGGATCATCCCGAGTTCCCTAAAGACTGCCAGAACACCAGAACAAACTCAAGGCGCAATGCAGAAAACTACTGCTGCTGTACGACGAGCATGATTTGCCAGTGGTTCCAAATACCGCCGCAGAACCGCGGGCGATCAACGCACCTCCGAACTCCGCTGGGAGCCACACAAACTCACGAACGTGCCGACAGTTGCGCAGCTGGGATGAACGGTCTAGTGTGATCATTAAAAGACTTGACGCGCGTGGACCTCTGCGGAAACTTCCGCCGTGGCGACAATTGCGCAATGAAAGGCACCGATGGAAGGAACGTCTAGCGTAGATCCAGTGAAACCGCTCTCTGTTGAAACCCCTTCCGCAAGCTCACGCAAGCGGCCACAATTACACAACTGACACTAACCCGCGAGTCGAGTTCTAGCAAAGGTCTGGGTGAGACCGCACACTGCTAGATACCAAGCAAACTCATGACAGTGGCGATAGAAACACAGTTGTCACCACTCAGCGAGGCGAAGTCTAGATTGGAGATGGGTACGGCCGCGCTCGGCTGAACCCTTACTGAGCTCACGAAGATGGCGACGGTGGCGCAGCTGGAGCCACTCTTGGGGGCGAAGTCTAGCTTGGATCTGAGTAGGACCGCACTCCGCTGGACCTCCCCCTAAGCTTACGAGAGTGGCTACGCTTGCGCACTCGGCACCGCCTGGGGAAGAGAGAGTTTTGCTTGGGTCTGGGTCAAGGCGGGCTCGAGGGGATCAAACACAAGCTCACGAACGAAGCGGCGCCGCACTCGGAAGCAAGCTTGAGGGCCCAGATAAAAGCGGGCCCCACCCACGGCACAGACATGTCTGTAACACTGGCAGCGGCCATGGGGGCCTCTGGCCCCAGTCCCCCGTGGTGTGCACAGCCTGCGCAGGCCCCGAACGTTGGGTGAGATGCGACCACGGACGGTGGCGCCGTCACCGGGGCTCTCTCGATGGCAGGCGCTGTCCACGAGATTCATTGGCAGGGAGACGTCCAGCCCCGCAGAAAGCACTGCCCTCTGCAAACCTGCGGCAACCCTGGTTGGTTGTTCTGACGATGCCAATGGAGATTGTTGCGTTGCCGTTCGCTCTTGGGAGCCTTGGTGTCGAGTTGTTTACGTCACCCTTCGCTCTTGGGCGCCTTGGTACCATTCCACCCCCCCCCCGGGAACCAACGAAATAACAAATTATGTCGTTCATTTTGCAAGGGCTTGGGGGGCCGTTTGGGCTCGTCTTTTGGACCCCTTGGGGGGCTCTTGGGGGCCCCTTGGTGTGCCTCTTGGGGGCCTCTTGGGAGCCTTTTTGGGCTTCTTGGGGGCCTCCTGGGGCCTCCCTGGAACTTCTTGGGGCGACCCTTAAGAGCCTGTTCCGCCAACGTTTGTACTGGGAGCCTTGGTGTTCAGAGATGGTTACGTTCCCGCTCGCTCTTGGCACAGCATACAGCACGGGATGTCGATGTGCCTGACGATATGCATTTGCATTTGCTTATCGATGTGCATGTCGATTTGCTTTTCGATCTGCATTTCGTTTTACATCTCACTATCGGTCTCACTATCGATCCCACGATTGATCTCACGATCGACCTTACTATCGATCTCACTCGATCGATCTCACTATCGGTCTCACTCGATCGATTTCACTGTCGATCTCACTATCGATTTCACTCCATCGATCTCACTATCGATCTCACTATCGATCTCTCTATCGATCTCATTCGATCGATCTCACTATCGATCTTTCTCAATCGATCTCACCATAGATCCCACTATCGCTCTCACGATCGATCCCACAATCGATCTCACCATCGATCTCACTCGATCGATCTCACTATCGATCTCACAATCGATTTCACAATCGATCTCACAATCGATCTCACCATCGGTCGCACTATCGTTTTCGCACCAGCGGGACACCGGGACACCAGCGGGACACCGGCGGGACACAGGCGGGACACCGCGCGGCCCCGTGTGCCGGTCGGGAAGCATTTGGTCCGACCGCGCCTCAGCCACAGGAGACTTACCGGGACACCAGCGGGACACCAGCGGGACACCGGCGGGACACCGCGCGGCCCCGTTTGCTGGGGGGGATCATTTGGTCTGGCCGCGCCTCAGCCACAAAAGACTTTCCTCTCGCCCGCCCACGCAGCTCCGCCTCGCCCGCACGCACGGCACGCACAAACACGAAACCGAAACCGATTTCCCGGTGGGGGGCTCTCCGTTCCACTTCGCTCTCACCCCCCAACCTCCGACCAATTTGAACCCGAACAGGCCCGTGTAGTACCCTATGGTGGCCCCCTCCGTGGTAAGCCCAAGTACGATGCCTGCTAACACGTAGTGGTCATGTGGCTCTGACTGAAGAGAGGCACGCCACCGCCCCCCGCCAAGTAGGTGCTCTGCCTG